GCAGGTGGCCCGAGCAGAAAAGTTGCACCACGTGGAGAGCGACAGAGATAGGGGTGGGTGGTGGGTGAGAGCCAGGTGAATGCATGGCTGTCCGAAGTGTGTTGTGTTGCCCCTTTGCTTAGTGAGTGATGCTACCTGCGGTGCCGAACATGTTCAGTCAGCCAGGTGCCCTCGAGAATTTTTAGAGTCGTGTTGCACGTAGCTGATCAGCGCAATGCTTCAAGGCACACAAATACTTAGTAATAATGGCAATAGAAAGCAATCATAGCACAATTGATAATAGCAACATTAAGTTCGGGTCATCAGTTCTGGCTCCATCATAGGCCGATGTTGCCGAAGATGTCGAGCTGGGCGGCACACATTTTTGCAATCTTTTCAGTGGCGACAGGCAGGGATGACGTTGACCAGTTCACTGTTCCTAAAGACCCAGCCGGTGTAAGCAGGCTTGTCGCTGTTCGACTGAACCGGTTTCAGTTCGATCTCTGTTCGTCTCGGTGTTTCGGACGGACGGTTCGCATGCAGCGTCGATTCGAGTTTCAGCTTCTCCCTTCGATTCCACGACTTTCCTGTGGATCTGCTGAAGGAGTCACAGACTTTTTTATAGACCTGGGAGGCAACAGCTGGTCGCAACTCTCGCCTCAGCTTTGGCCACCGGGTCTGCGGGCAGACCAACCACAGAGTGGGATGAGGCAGGAAGAAGATTTCGAGTTTGCGCTTCAAAGATACACTTCGGCTTTCGGCCGGGCATTGAGTCCAGAGATTTGTAACTGAGGGGCTTGTTGTGAGTGCAAAAATGACCTCGGCGCTGGCTTACCGGTTTAGGGCCCCGCATTGTGCAGCTTTACAGTTAGGGTAATGATATTCTTCTTCGCTTCTCACTAGATCTGATGTATGCCCAGGCGAGCCAAGGTATCTTCATGTTTGGTGGGAGAGTGGAAGGATGCTTGTCCAAGCAAGCTCAAGGATGTGGTTCTTCATGTTTTTCAAGCTGTTACAAGTTGATTATCACATGAATCACATGTACTTACAGACAACCTGTGGCTGTTCCATGATTTCGAAACACCGCCTAGGATCCGGGACGTACACAAGCAACTTGTACTTCTACAGCGTCGCCCTCAACACCTGGACCCTGAAGTCATCTGTCTCGGCGCCATCGGGCCGACACATGCACACCGCTGTGCTGGACTCCGCGAACCGGAGGATGTACATCTTCGGTGGGGGAACTCGCGGCTCATCCAGTAGTACTGCCAACAGCCTCTTCAGCGACCTCTTCCGTTACGATTTGGCCTCTGACTCTTGGACACAGTTGACAGGGCACACAACTCCTCGAGCACGCCATGCAGCGGTTTGGGACAGCAACTCGGACCGCATGATTGTTTTCAGTGGAGAGGCAGATGACAAGACAAAGCTGGGGGATGTGTTGGAGTACGATCCTGCTTCGGACACATGGAGCTCTCCCACCATCAGCGGGAGCGCTCCGGTAGCGCGAGTTGAGCCTGTGGCCGTGTGGGATGCAACATCCAATTCAATGCTGATGTGCTGTGGGGAAGGAGACGTAGATGTGTACAGTCCCTTCACAGACAGCACCGCCAGCGCCTACAACGACTTGTGGAGCTACGTCCGTGGCTCTGGTTGGACTGAGCTGGTGCAATCGGGCAGCTTTACCCAACGATATGCAGTTGCAGCTGCTTGGGATGCAGCCGCACGATCACTCGTAGGCTTTGGTGGGTACTGGTATGGGTCGAGTGGCAACTACCTATCTTCAATATTCTCCTACTCTGTCGCCACCAGCAGCTTCAGTGAGTATGATGTTCCAGGAGCGCAGGACTGCGGCAGGGCAGTGTGGAATCCTGCCGCTGGGGACTTCTACTTTTTTGGCGGATGGGATGCACAAGCAGGCGGCTACTCTGACGAGCTTTGGAGGATGGATGCAGCACAAGGCAACAAAGGGACGCAATTAATTGTGCTGACCCTTCACATGCCTGGATGTGTTCGTTGTTTCGCTGCATATTCTGATGAAAGTTCCTTCTGCTTCTTCGACCCCTTACAGTCACAGTTGGATCCCGCCAATGTGCAAGCTTCAGCTTGCATCTGCAGTCTAAAGTAGGGTAATATGTTCCGATGGAATCTTCGTAATTGCTGCTAAAATTATCAGACAGTCCTCTGCACAATTGCCTGGTTTGCGGCGTGCATGTTCGGTAGTACACGTTTCTGCTGCGAAGGCATCATGGTGTTGCACCATGACATTTTCACAATGGTCTAGGACCAAGCAGGTCAGCAGCTCTATGCTCGAGCATCCCCTCGTCTTGAGACTGGCAACTGAGAAAACGAGCCTCAGAACTCGAAGCCAATCACCCCTCGCCAGTTGAATCCTCCTGAAGGCATTGATTGGACACACCTCTCCCGACTTTGGCCACCGGCTCTTCAAAGGCACACGCTCATCTTCGAGGAGGCTCCTGCGAGTACTAAAGTGGTTCATGGCTTCCTTTTCGATACTTTACCGATTCAGGGCACTCAGGGTCGGTGCAGTCCATCAGAGGCGCAAGCTTGAGATTGGTCTTCTCTCTTTTATCCTTGTGTTGTGTCCGTATCAAGAGGACTGTGTTGGGGCTACAACACAAGCCAAAGTTCGAAGGTGAGCCAGGGGATTTTCCTCTTTGGCGGCCAGGGCTATGGACTCGCGTTGGCACTTGGCAACTCCCGCCCGAATTCGTCAACCCGAAACAAGACAGAGCTACGTTCGAAAGCAGCCCGTAAGCATCAACCTTCCAGAAAGAAGCGGCAGAGTTTTGACTTACAGAAGCTTTCCAAGTTAGACTGAGGAACGCCGACTTACTCGAGTAAGTTGTACTTCTACAGCATCACCTTGAACGCATGGACCCTGAAGTCATCTGTCGCGGTGCCACCGGGCCGACACATGCACACTGCGGTGCTGGACGCCACGAACCGGAGGATGTACATCTTCGGTGGGGGAACTCGCAGCTCATCCAGTAGTACTGCCAACAGCCTCTTGAGCGACCTCTTCCGTTACGATTTGGCCTCTGACTCTTGGACACAGTTGACAGGGCACACAACTCCTCGAGCACGCCATGCAGCGGTTTGGGACAGCAACTCGGACCGCATGATTGTCTTCGGTGGAGAGGCAGATGACAAGACAAAGCTGGGGGATGTGTTGGAGTACGATCCTGTTTCGGACACATGGAGCTCTCCCACCATCAGCGGGAGCACTCCGGTAGCGCGAGTTGAGCCTGTGGCCGTGTGGGATGCAACATCCAATTCAATGCTGATGTGCTGCGGAGAAGGAGACGTAGATGTGTACAGTCCCTTCACAGACAGCACCGCCAGCGCCTACAACGACTTGTGGAGCTATGTCCGTGGCTCTGGTTGGACTGAGCTGGTGTCATCGGGCAGCTTTACCCAGCGAGAGTGTACTGCAGCTGCATGGGATGCAACTACACGAGCAATTGTAGGCTTTGGTGGGTACAGGTCGGGTGGCAACTACCTATCTTCAGTATTCTCCTATTCTGCAGCCAGCAACAGCTTCAGCGAGTATGATGTTCCAGATGCAACGGATGGAGCGGCGGCAGCTTGGGACTCACGGGCAGGTGATTTCTACATGTTCGGAGGTTGGGCCGAAAACACGGGTGCCTACTCGGACAAGCTGTGGAGGCTGAATACCACTGCAGGCGCCAAGGGATGAACTGTGAAGAACAGCATGCACTTGCAGCTCATGTGTACAGTATGCAGCGGAAGCTAGAACCCAAGCTTTGCCAGCAAGGATGCTAAACCAACGGCCACGCTGGTAGATCCCCTGACCCAAGCACCAACAGTGTTGCACTTCAGCAGTCATTAAGTTACAACGCACTGAGAGGCTCTTGGTTTCTACTCGCACCTCCAAGTGGACCGCCCGCCCTCGGCAGACCAACGCTGGTCTTTGATGAGGCCTCCCTTCAAATGTACGGTATTTGGGATTCTGCAAAGGCCTAGACTTTGCACCACTCGCCTGGAGGTTTCGGAGTTTGAGGATTGCTTTTAGATTTCTTGTGCAGGCATACATGACCACACACACTCTCCCACCCGTCTGCATAAGATGTCCTTGTCGTAGATGCGCCCACCCAGTCTTTGCTAGTAGGAGCGTACGTCATTCAGCACAAGATCGCTTCTCCGAAGAACTCGTTTCGAGACATACAGCTGTCCTTAGTCTTTAGCACTGCCAGGTAGATGAAGGGATCTTAATGTTCGGCGGCCGCGACGGGACGTACACAAGCAACTTGTACTTCTACAGCGTCAGCCTGAACACGTGGACCCTGAAGTCATCTGTCTCGGCGCCATCGGGCCGACACATGCACACCGCTGTGCCGGAGGATGTACATCTTCGGCGGGGGAACTCGCGGCTCATCCAGTAGTACTGCCAACAGCCTCTTGAGCGACCTCTTCCGTTACGATTTGGCCTCTGACTCTTGGACACAGTTGACAGGGCACACAACTCCTCGAGCACGCCATGCAGCGGTTTGGGACAGCAACTTGGACCGCATGATTGTTTTCAGTGGAGAGGCAGATGACAAGACAAAGCTGGGGGATGTGTTGGAATACGATCCTGCTTCGGACACATGGAGCTCTCCCACCATCAGCGGGAGCGCTCCGGTAGCGCGAGTTGAGCCTGTGGCCGTGTGGGATGCAACATCCAATTCAATGCTGATGTGCTGCGGAGAAGGAGACGTAGATGTGTACAGTCCCTTCACAGACAGCACCGCCAGCGCCTACAACGACTTACGGAGCTATGTCCGTGGCTCTGGTTGGACTGAGCTGGTGCAATCTGGCAGCTTTACCCAACGATATGCAGTTGCAGCTGCTTGGGATGCAGCCGCACGATCACTCGTAGGCTTTGGTGGGTACTGGTATGGGTCGAGTGGCAACTACCTATCTTCAATATTCTCCTATTCTGCAGCCAGCAACAGCTTCAGCGAGTATGATTTTCCAGGAGCACAGGACTGCGGCGCGGCAGTGTGGAACCCCACTGCTGGAGACTTCTACGTGTTCGGAGGCTGGAACAAAGAAGCGGGCAGCTACTCTGACGAGCTCTGGCGGATGGATGCAGAAGAAGGCCAGTATGAGGGATGCAAAGCAGTGACCTACTGCCCTTTGCCCAAGTGCCCTCCCAAAGACTCCGCCTTCACCAGCCCCTGACAGGGTTTTACACATGGACACAGCTTTCTTCCCTGTGGCCGCCGGCATTGGAGAGGCACTCGCTGGTGTGGGACGAGGCACACCAGGGGCAAAGCAGGCAAGCAGGTCAAGCTGTCCACCACACTTTCCGTCACGTCACATCACTGCACGGAGCTGGGCCTCCTGCTGCTGCTGCTGCTGTTGTTGTTGTGGTGTCTGTTGTCGTCGTCGCTGTTGACGTGGTGCCAATGCGCCGCGAAGGGCCGTGTCGATTTCAAAATCCAAAATCGAGTTTTGGCACGGCGCAGAAACGGTCCAAGCAGTGGTTTGTGCTTTGGTAATTAAGTGCTGTGGGGCCTTGCACAAAATTATGTCCTGGCTTGTGTTCTTAAGCTGGATTGCTGCTTGTTCTCGCACGGAGGATGATGACATCCACACCAATGAGGAATCGTTTTGTGTCCTTGCCAAGACTCGATCGAGTCTTGGCACGTTGCAGGTTGGAAAATTCTTTTTCTGGTAGAATCAGAAATTGTTTTGGTATCAGAAGTCATACACTACCAGCACCAAAGAATGTCGGCCGCAACAAGCAGCAACACAACAGCGACAGCCGCAACAAGACGAACAAAGTGAGCATCTTTGGATGGGCATGGTCATGATCGTGGCCGCTATCCGCCTTACCCAGCCTCAGAAAAAGCAGTGACACAACACTCTTGTCACGCAGGAAACACGAGAGAAGCGCCCTTCTACTGAGTACTAGCACTGTCAAGGTGCCCCTTTTTCCGAGGGTTGCAAACAAACTTGTTCTGGCTGCAGCCGGCTAGGTGAATAACGGGATCTTCCTGTTTGGAGGCAGGAAGTCCGGATGCGTGGATGTGCATAGACTTCTTGAAGTCAAGGGCTTCATTTTCAAAGGATTACTCGTCAGGCTTTTTTGCGCAACATTGCATAGCCGAGGAACGCCGACTTACTCAAGCAACTTGTACTTCTACAGCGTCAGCCTCAACAGTTGGGCCCTGAAGAAGTCATCCGTCTCGGCGCCATCGGGTCGACACATGCACACTGCGGTGCTGGACGCTGCGAACCGGAGGATGTACATCTTCGGTGGGGGAACTCGCAGCTCATCCAGTAGTACTGCCAACAGCCTCTTGAGCGACCTCTTCCGTTACGACGTAGCTTCTGACTCTTGGACACAGTTGACAGGGCACACGACTCCGCGAGCACGCCATGCAGCGGTTTGGGACAGCAACTCGGACCGCATGATTGTTTTCGGTGGAGAGGCAGATGACAAGACAAAGCTCGGGGATGTGTTGGAGTACGATCCAGCTTCGGACACATGGAGCTCTCCCACCATCAGCGGGAGCACTCCGGTAGCGCGAGATGAGCCTGTGGCCGTGTGGGATGCAACATCCAATTCAATGCTGATGTGCTGCGGAGAAGGAGACGTAGATGTGTACATTTCCTTCACGAGCATGTGGGATGACACGTACAACGACTTGTGGAGCTACGTCCGTGGTTCTGGTTGGACTGAGCTGGTGCAATCCGGCAGCTTTACCCAGCGAGAATGCACTGCAGCAGCATGGGATGCAACGACACGAGCAATTGTAGGCTTCGGTGGGTACCGTTCAGGAAACAACTACCTGACTTCAGCATTCTCTTATTCTGTCGCCAGCAACAGCTTCAGCAAGTACGATGTTCCAGATGCGCTGTATGCAGCGGCAGCAACTTGGGACAATCAGGAAGGTGTTTACATGTTCGGAGGCTGGGTCGACAACACCGCCGTTTTCTCGGACAAGCTGTGGATGCTGAATACCACTGCAGGCCCGGTTGTTGTTGCTTCACTTGTGCTGCACAGGTCAGCTACCAAGGTGTTCAGAGCACGTGCTTTTTCCAAGCGACGAAAAGGAACAGTCCCCCCAAGCAGCAGCTGAGAAAACCAATTCTTTAATCCTACACCCCGAGCCTTCGACCTGAAAACGTCCCCCTGTAAGGCAATAGCTGGACTCAACTCTCTCCTCAGCTTTGGCCACCGGGCCTGGGGAGACATACCATGGAGTGGGATGAGGTGGGGGGGGGTTGTTGCTGCGCTCTGGAGCGGGTTTCGAACTTGTTCTGGACATCGGGTTTATGGGTTAAGTGAGCCTGCTGGGGACGGGGGGTCCTACAGTGCGCATGGGCCCTGCTGCTTCGCTGCCTTGCAATAAGATTTGGTGTATGCTCAGGCGAGCCAAGGTATCTTCATGTTTGGTGGGAAAGTGGAAGGATGCCTGGCCAAGCAAGCTCAAGGATGTGGTTCTTCATGCTTGTCGAGCTGTTGCGAAATTGATTTCTAGTAATCTAGTATCACATTGGACATGTACAGACAACGTGTGAATCTTGCATGTTTTCCAGAACACCGAGGAGCCGGGACTTACTCAAGCAACATGTACTTCTACAGTGTGAGCCTCAACACGTGGACCCTGAAGTCATCTGTCTCGGCGCCATCGGGCAGACAAATGCACACTGCGGTGCTGGACACTGCGAACCGGAGGATGTACATCTTCGGTGGGGGAACTCGCAGCTCATACAGTAGTACTGCCAACAGCCTCTTCAGCGACCTCTTCCGTTACGACGTAGCTTCTGACTCTTGGACACAGTTGACAGGGCACACGACTCCGCGAGCACGCCATGCAGCGGTTTGGGACAGCAACTCGGACTGCATGATTGTTTTCGGTGGAGAGGCAGATGACAAGACAAAGCTGGGGGATGTGTTGGAGTACGATCCTGCTTCGGACACATGGAGCTCTCCCACCATCAGCGGGAGCACTCCGGCTGCACGAGTTGAGCCTGTGGCCGTGTGGGATGCAACATCCAATTCTATGCTGATGTGCTGCGGGGGAGGAGACGTAGATGTGTACATTTCCTTCACGAGCATGTCGGATGACACGTACAACGACTTGTGGAGCTATGTCCGTGGTTCTGGTTGGACTGAGCTGGTGCAATCCGGCAGCTTTACCCAGCGAGAAGCGGCTGCTGCTGTGTGGGATGCAGCCACGCGATCACTGATAGGCTTTGGCGGATACAGGTCCGGTGGCAACTACATGTCTTCAATATTCTCCTACTCTGTCGCCAGCAACAGCTTCAGCGAGTACACGGTAGGAGGTCCAGGAGCACGTGATGCGGCTGCTGCAGCCTGGAATCCAAGCACCAAAGAGCTTTACTTGTTCGGAGGATGGGTGGATAGTGCCAGCAGCTACGAGGATGTGCTGTGGAGGTTGGACAGCACGCACACGTCGGTCACAACCACCTCCAGCACTGAAACAGGTAGCTCAACTTCCACCACTTCCAGAACATGGACCAGTAGCAGCATTACTTGGACGAGCAGCTCGACTTCCCGAACCTCTTCGACAAGTAGAACATTGACCAGAACGTCTACCACATCCACAACGTCGATAAGTAGCTCGACATCCCGCACTTCTTCCACAAGTGGAACAGCCTCAACATCGACTCGTAGCTCGACTTCTGGAACATCTTCCACGGGGACTGGAACATCCGCCACAACCACGATGACAGGCAGTTTGACGTCTTCCACGGCTTCCAGCAGCATGACATCGACCAGCCGCGCAAGTTCTAGAACATTCACGCTCACGTCCACCACAACCTCTCTGTCGACGAGTGGCTCAACGTCACTCCGCAGCATTACATCGACGAGTAGCTCGACTTCGGCAACTCTTTCCTCGTCAGGAGCAGGGCCAGCCATGAGCGCTTCAAAGGGCCATGTGCTGCAGTTTTGCGCAGAGTGTTGGGGCTGGATTCTTGTCTGCATGTGTCCCGACCACAGGAACACCCACCGCCGAAGTTCCATGGACCAGTACGACCTCGGCCGCCTATTCCATGGAGTTCTTGGAGCTACTGGAGCTTGCAGAGCAAAGCCTTCTGCGAAGGATTCTAGTCTCCTCGGTATCCATGCAGAACCTGTCAGTTCTGGACCGCGCTGTTCTCGAGGACAGCCAGACCGAGATGTGACGGGGATGTTGCAAAGAAGTGCGAATTATTAATGAGAAATTCGGAACAGTTGGATTATGTTAGAATGCATCTCCAATGGATTCGCCTGCTTGGCTGCTCACAAACCAGAATGTTTTGCTGAAGTAATCGAATGCCCACGAGAACGACAGCAAGAGGGAGACAGGCCAAAGGCCTGAGGGTCGAGGGATCGACCCCTACGCCCTGCAGAAAGAAAGAAAGCAAGAGGGCTTGTGCTTCCCTCTTGGCTGTGTGGAAGAGAGACACCGAGCGCCATGCTTGATCAGTAAAAAAACCATGGGCGATTGGGTGGGGGAGTACACGAAATCCGTCTAACAAGGATTCCAGTTAATTGCACCGGAGCCCAACGCAGACATCACCCTGGACGGGGGCAGCGTAAGCCTGGTCCTTCCCGCCGAGGAGCCGGGTTCGGGCCCAAAACCCTTCGTCTCAGGGCTCGGGCGGAAGGGGCAGCCTTCGGGGCAGCGTTCCGGGAATGCTTTGTCTTCAACGCTTCAACTAGGATCCCGGAGCAGTGCAAAACTGCTTTCCCCCAGTACATAAGTATTGACAGAATTCCTGACCACTGCGCATAGGCGCGAGGCGCAGGCATGCCCTCCCTTCATTGACGAAATCCACAAGGACAGCCCAAAGTCTGTCCCCCAAGTACTTCTGCGGTTCAAGCTTTTCGAGAGAAAAGGTGGTCCATGTATTCAAGTCGTGTTCACCCCGGTGCATCGCCCAGCGCACCACACCGAAGCACTCTGAACGTAAGAACCCTCTTCAGTCCTATTCTTGTACCAAACCAAACTTGGGGAGTGAAACTTGAGCCAGCCAATCTGTCTAATGAAACCGCTGTTCTAGGAGGGCAGGGTGCATTCAACCTAAGACGGCCAAGACCGTTTACCCAAACCAACGACCCACACCCATGCGGAGGTTGTGGCTCAGGCCGCGCAGCTGTCGCAGCTGAATGAGTCGGAGCCCGTGTTTCTGACCCTAAGCGTTATCAAAGCTACGCCGGCCATTCTGAACGACACCGGCATGCTGGCCTCCAGTGCCGTGAGCGTGAACTTCCGTGATTTGAGCGGCCAGCCCCTAGAGCTGCCGAACCTGAGGAAGCCTGTGAAGCTGAGCTTCGAGGTGGACTCCCGGGCCTTAAACCGGCAAGGCTATCTGACTCAGTGCATGTTCTGGGACGAAACTGGGGGACTTTGGGCCAAAAGGGGCCTCGAAAGGCTGCCCGAGTCCCAAGCAGAAGCCCTCCTTTGCATCACCAACCACTTGACCATCTTCGGGGCTGTGCTTGGGCTTACTATTGATCATTCTTGAGGGTCTCGTCTAAAAACAAAAAGCTTTCCGCTACTGACGGGCAGTTGAGGTGTGGGAGATTATCCAACAAGAGCTCCGATGCTCCACTGCTGGGCTGGTGTTGTCGGTTGAAGGACTCCAGAACCTTGGCACTTCCCAGTGGTTGCATTTTGCAGCGACCATTCTCACTTTCATCTTCCTTGGCTCTTTTGGTATCGCGATGGTCTGGGGCATGCGCCGGGACTGCCTTGCTGAACGCGCTCTTCCCCGGAAGGAGGTGGAGAATGCGCTGCTGGTGAGCCGCCAGGATGCGCCCGCTGCAGAACCCGAGCACTCCGAGGTTCCCGAAACCCGCTGCAGCCGCTGTCGCAGTTGTGCAGGAAGTGCACTCGACGGCTTCGCCTGGTTGGTGAGCACCATGTTTGAGGTCCAGGCCGCAGACTCCGTGACGGAGCTACTGGATATGAGACTTGCAGCGGTGAATCGATGCATAACCTCCATCCATGCATACAGGACGGCTTCTGTGAAGAGGGTTTAGGGAGGGCTCAGTAGACTTTAATGACTAGCTGGCCCTCCACCTCCTTCCTATGGCCGAGCTGGCCGTGCAGGACTGGCGCTTGCCGAGAGAGCATCAAGGCCGTCATGAAGTCCAGCGGTGAGAAGAAGCTGAGGCGAAAGAGCACGCGAAGTCAGAATGGGGAGGTTGTTCGGACCACCACCACCGCCTCAGTGGCTACTGCTGCCGAGACGTGGAACGTCCATCATCACGGGGTGCTGGCTGTCGAAAGGTTTCTGCATGGCAATTTGCTTAGGCGCCTGATGCTGGGCGATGTTTGGACAGCTTGCACATGCGAACACACAAGGCTGTGTCAGTTTCGGGGCGTGCTTAACCAAGGATTATCTTGATGCCTTGCATGCACCCCTGGCTGGCCGCGACACTCATCAGCTTCTTTCGATCGCACACCGTGCCTTCGGCGTGATTAAAGCCCGAGGTTTCGTGACCCCGCAACCTCAGCCCTTTCTTCAAGAAGAAAATCCTTGCAGTCCGAGGTGAGAGATGCACTCATCATCCTCAAGCTGGCATCTGCGCTAGATCTGAGGATGCCTTTTCACGTTTCTTTTGCATACAGCTGTGCGTGTCTAGCAGCCAGGGTCGACAGAGATTGCGAAGTCAGGGACTGCAAGGGTCTGTTGGACATGAAGTTAGGCCATCCATGCCATCACAGGTTCAACTAGCCCCGACCCGCACCCCATAATGGTAACTGTTTTGGGGAATCCGGAAATGCCTTAACAGGGGCAGGACTTCTTTCGACAGCCGAGCAAGGATGGAGACCGTAAGGCGGCTCCCAGAATTCTGTAAGTAAGGCTCAGGATATCCTCGAATTTCAGGGGTGGCGATCCTCCAGAGCCTTGGAAACCCTGCAGCCGGGTGGGAAAGGTGAGCGCGGCCTTCACCAATGCGCTCTTTTTCACCAGCACCGCCCAAGCTGCGAACTCCGCCGCTGGGCGTTCAGCCCATGGGGTAGACTCGGGTAGGATGGTGCGCAGGGCCGTGTAGCAGATTACTAGAGAACACTGAAGAAGACCAGACGAGATGTCCTCGGCTACAGTACACCACAGTCGACTCTGTCTCGTTTGTGCATTAGTCCCTTCCCCCATTTATTCAACACCCCCCCCCCCAGAAGAAAAACACTTTGGAGCCAATCCTCCCGAAATCATCCCTGCCCTTGAAAGCCTCATTTGCATTAGGGCGTCCGGAGCAAAAGCCGGAGTAAGAGCAAGAGCAAACTCTCCAGAGGAAGAGCAAAAGCAGGAGCAAAAACCAGAGCAGCACCAAGAGCAAAGATCCCTCGAACGTGGCAGTAGCGCTAAAAAAACACCCTGGTATTATAGCACCACTTTCTGAGTTTTTATTTGGGGGGGCGAGGGGGCGTATAATCTAGGGGGAAGCGATAAGTAGACCGGGTAGAAGGCTGGAGTGTCGTGTTCTTGGCACCACAGAAAAAAGATCTTTGCCTTGGCGTACATAGGGTTCAATCAGGTGCGACTTGCCGGTTCTGTCTTGAGCCATCGTTTCGAGGATGATGAGTGCAGCCCACCGGAGACCTTCGGGGAGAAGCTGCTTACATCCGTGGTTGTGGGCTTCCTTTCTGCCTGTGCAGGGGATGTGCTGATCGCTCTTTGGCTGCACACTGCTGAAAGACTCTTGCGCTTTGGGCGTCATGGGGTCGGAGAGGGGGATTGCAAGGGCCTTTGGGATCCGTCATGCATTGCATGACGAATCCACGACCCGAACTGCTGAAATCGCTTTATCTTGCTGAAAAAAGCAGCTCCGTTGCCGTCCATCACATTTTGCTTAGCTCGCACAGGTGATGCTGGCCCTGATCCAGCGCCGGCGCATGCTGGTCCGAGATTTCTGGACACACAAAATGAAGTCACTTGTCTTTGGAGACCTTATTTGAGTGTGTTGAGTGCTGCAGCACGCATTATAATTAGGAGAAACATCCAATACCAGTGTGCCGGCTTCTCAGAAGCACGCGACGTTGTTTGTGGTGTGGATACTGTGGTCGGCAGTTACGTATGTTCGTGTCTTCCTCATGTTCGCCAGTTGCTGCTGCCTTTTTTGCTTCACTGTTGCATTAAGTACCTGCCGTGATCAAGACTACATAAGTACACACATCAATTACTTATTCGGCCTGCAGGAGGGTAACGAGGTTTGGCTCCTGTAGAAGCTTTTTCGTTGCCGGTGGTGCTGTCCACTCTGGGCTGGCTTTTTGGGGGTCCCTCGTCAATCGCCTCCCAAAGCCTGTACGTCTCCAGATCCAGCGGGGATACACAACATGCGATTTCTTGCCGAGAGTATGGGGCACTTTGAGTGAGGTATGCTGCCTTCTTTTAGGGTGGCCCACGCCGCAATACCACAGGATGAGCTAGCAGTTTCACGGGTATGAGCAGGTAGGATTGCCGTGCTTCCAGGTCCAGGCAGTTTCGCTGGTGGCGTTGGAGGCGACGAGTGTTTTGGGTCATTTGGCTCAGCCTTTTTGGTTTTTCCGTTCTGTACATTCTGTCATTTTTGGCCAATGTGAGCGTTGCTGATGCACATAAGTGGCTCGAAAGCACTGGCGTGAGCCTTCTGCAAGATCTTGCTTTGAAGCCCGCGCTTCTTGCAAGCGGCTATGCTACAATATCAACTCTCGTTCTAATTTGCAATCCGCGTGTCAAAGACAAAGTGGAAAAGCAGTGGATAAATCCCGACGAAATCGACGAAGTGGAGGATAATTTTAATAGGGATGCAAGCGGTGAAGACGACCAAAATTGCCCTAGCCGGCTCCCAGATGAAATCAGATCTGAGGAGTCCGACTCCATGTTGGTCGAGTTCTTTAAGAGATTCGGCCTTGCGCATAAAAGCGTGCACTCGCACGCAAAACAGGTTTCACCAGGCCGCCATGAAAATCATCGGAGGCCCCGACTCGCGCTTTTGGTGACAAGAAGACAGATGCTCAGGAATTTTGTGCCAACGTATTGCTTCCAGCAGACAAGCACGGTTTTGCATGCTGGTGACTGCTGCCACCCACATCTTGCATGCACAGGGGGGCACATCTCAAGGACGAATGTCTGATGAACGTGCGGTCAAGGCACATCTGCGAAGCATCCAGCTTTGAGTAGTAGAAGCAGTGGTCGTCGCCGTAAGAGCCGTAGCAGCAGTAGCAGTAGTAGCACGTGGTAAGGGTAGTAGTCGTCGTCGTAGTAGTGGTTGTTGTTGTTGTTGTAGTTGTAGTTGCAGTTGAGTTGTAGTTGTTGTCGTAGTAGTAGTAGTAGTAGTAGTAGCAGCAGCAACAGTAGTAGTAGTAGATGTAGTAGCCGTAGCAGTAGCACTAGAAGCAGCAGTAGCAATAGCAGTAGTAGTAGTAGTAGTTGTAGTAGCAGTAGTAGCAGCAGCAGTAGTAGTAGTAGTGCAGTAGTAGTAGTAGTAGTAGTAGTAGTAGTAGTAGTAGTAGTAGTAGTGCAGTAGTAGTAGTGCAGTAGTAGTCGTGCAGTAGTAG